CATTGAGACTGAACTAAGACTTTTTATGCCACATATATGGAACAGTTTTTCTTGGGCAGGAAGGATATGGAGATGGTGAGTAAATAGATTTTCCATCTTTTACCTTGGTCTGTCCCTCTTTTATATTTCTATTTTACTCCTTAAAGGCACTGGCTATTCAGGCAGCTAAGCTAATCAAAGTGGCTTGAACCCTCATCACTGCTCTTCTGGATCATGGAGGGGTTTTTGTGAGATTCATGTACTACATGGAGAGTAGGGAGCATAGATAGTCTCCCATAGGGTATGTTTTCCTGAACAATGCTCATGTAATTCTATGACAGCCCCTCACAAGATGAGAGAGCATTTCACCAGCTGCTTTAGAAACACCACCATGAAATACAGGAAAACCACTGTCAGTTCCACAGACTCTCCCACTGCACTTTGATCCTTTAAGACCTGCACAGCCCAGACTAATGCAAGTTTTAGTTGGACCATGGCAATATCCCCATAAGAGACCCTAGAAGACTTGCATAGCTCTGCTGTGGTCTTCTTCCCTAATTTGCATCCACTGTTCCACTCCATTGCATTTAAGAGGGATTAATTTCAGCACCAAAATCACAGCTTACTATTCTCCTGTTGCAACATCAACCAATGATGTATCTTATGAAGTCAAATTATAAATTCATTGTAACTAATGAGGTAACTAATTTTTCTGTCTTAAACCTTATCTTGGAGGTACTCAGGCAGTACCACCCCCAAAGCCATAGGATGAAGGCTCATGCGCTGTCTCTGCCATACAAAAGGGCTGGTGGCACCACAGAGCAATGCATTTGCAGGAGACACAGCTTTCCCAAGGCTGTGTTCCGGACCACACCAGAGCACAGGCAGGACCTCCAGACCCCCCCAGACCTTGTCACCTTCATTTGGAAATGCAAGGTGCTTTCTGCAGGCTGGTGGTTTAGGTCCCTCTTACCACCTTGGGGGTTCCCATTCCTGTGACACCCTGCTATGATTCCTAACAGTACTACGAGTGTTTTAGTAGCCTGCTCCAAGGAGTGGCTGATTGTTTCTGTTATTCAAAAGCCTGCAGACATCCGGGAATACTCTACTCCCATGACAGAATTAAGGCAACGCAACGTTTTAAAAATTAAATTTAGCATATGCTTGATGATATCTGTGTGCTCTGTAGAGTCCTGGGAGAATTGGCACCCTGTTCCCATCTCTCTGAGCACTTGCAGGATGGCCTCACTTTGCCAAGGAAAGCTCCACAGGTAGCCATGCAGGTTTTCTCACCCTTCAGTGGACTCTGCCTGAGGTGTGCTTTGTACCATCAATGCATGTTTTTGGAGATTTCCAATAGACAGACCAACCAGTAATCATTCCTAATTAATTAGTTACTAATCCATAAGTTGATCTTAACAGCAGCAAGCTTATACATTAATAACTATCTTAGTAGTGAAGCTAGCAAGCTCACATCTATATCAGATTTAAAAGCCGTTTACAGATACTGGAATTAATAGAATCAGTAATAATAATTAATTGTATTTTGAAGTATCAATTATGTCATTTTCATGTAATAAGGAAGCCTATTCTATTAATTTTAAGAGTTTATATAAGCCTCAAGGACAGGCATATCAACATCTGACAGCTGGGGATTGACCATATTATGTGTGCACAGTTCATGTTGTGCTCACAAACACGAGTGAGAACAAAGCAGGAGATACCAGCCAGGGAGGAGGCTGCCAGGCCAGGCACCAGCTGCTTTTGTAACGTAGCAGTGAAAGAAAGGAAAGCATCATTGTTTCCATAGCTTTAAACTTGGACTACCTCCAGGAGCCCATAGCAGCAGGCATATCTCAGCACCCCTCTTGCTCGGTGTACAGAAAGCCAGGGTTGAAAATCCTCCTTGAACAGCGAAGCAAACTGTGCAAGAATGTCAGACCCTGCTGCCAATGTTTTGCAGCACTTCAGCCCCAGGCCAGATGAAAGACTGATGCTTTACTACTGTTCTCACGTGTATTCCCCAACCTCGTGGCTTCCTCATGTATTCCCGCCCTTGGCTGGCCTCTCACGGCTTATTCACAGTAATAACACCTGTCACAGAGCAAACCCAGCCAAGGTTGTCCCCATCCTCCATAGCCCTGTCCAGTCCTTCCTTACCTGTCAGTATCGACTCCATAGAACAGCTCACCTTGTCAGCCCTTCCATCACCTGCATGAGTGAGCTTTCATCACTGCACTCCAGAAACCTCCTGGATTGTCTGTGCCCTGCTGCACTGCCCATCCAACAGATGCTTAAATTCCCTCTTAAGGAGCAGGGCTGCCTTCTGCTTATCTGAAGGCCTCCTCTACTTCTTCCTGATCAGGTAGCTTATAGCAGACAGCCACAGTTGCATCACTCACCTTGTTCTGCCCTCTAATCCTAACCCATAAACTCTCAGCTGGCTCATCATCCATCCTAAGGCAGAGCTCCATGTGTTTCTTTTACTCTGTCACATAAAGGGCACCTCACCATCCTGGTTTGTCCTTCTTAAGGAGCCTGTATCCATCCATGCCAGTATTCCAGTCAAATGAGCTATCCTTTCCACTCTGCCTCCATCACCCAAATGAAATCATTGTCCTGCAGCTACATAAAAACCTCCAATTCCTCCTGTTTGTTCCCATACTACATGTGTTACCGTACAGACACTTCAGACAGGCACACTCTCATATTGACTTACCAGAAAAGAGCTTCCTCATAATGCTGTTTTGTAGGCATTTCCTTATATGCATACATATGGTTGGGGGCAAGCTTCTGCCCTGTTTCTTTGTTCCCAGAATCTCTCCTTGAAATCTTGTCATTCGGTGCCCTTTGCTTACCAAACGAGCCCAACAGTTCCTCACTTAATGGGGGTCATCATCTCTTCCCCTGATGCCAAATCAATCACTCCTAGTTTAAAGCTCTCTTCAGCAGATTGACCAGCCTGCTGGAAAAGATGCTTTTGCCCTACTTGGTCAGGTGGATCCCATCTTTTCTTAATAGTCCTGAGTCCTCAGAGATGGTTCCATGGTTCCTTTTGTCAGCACCAGCTGTGCAAACAATTGTTGACCTGTGGGATCTTTTCACTCCTCCTCAAGCCTTTTCTCCTCCCTGGGAAAATTGAAGAGAAAACTACCTGGGCCCCCAAGATGTTCACCGCCACCCCAGAACAATGTTGTAGTCATGCTTGAAATGCTCCAGGTCTCCCCTGGCAGTATTGTAGGTGCCCATGTAGAAGAGCAGCACTGATTAATGGTTTGAAGCTTGTCTCCCTACAACATCCCCAATCCAAGTCCCTGGCAAGCAGCAAACCTCCTTAGACAGCAGATCAGGTCAGCAGGTTGGGGCCTCCATCCCATTCAGGGGCAAGCTTCCCCCTGCCGTCAGCCACCTTTTCCTCCCGGTGCTGCTATGTAGCTCAGGCCCAGGTGGCACAGAGGATTCATTGGAGAAAGGTCCCAACCCTTTGCTACCAGGGTACTGGCTTTGTTCTGTAGCTGCAGATCTGCAGCTGCAACCATCCTTCTGGTACCAGGAGTCACAAGTCTTCACCTTCATGGAAGTTTTCATTTCCTAACCCAATGAGCACAGACTCTGCCTGACCCTCCTATAGGAACGCAGTAGATTCACCGTCCTGAAGCTGCAGGGTCTCAGAGAAAGTCCAGTTGATCCCTTTCTCACCATCTCTGATGCTGTGTAGGCTGCTGACCTCCTCCCACCGCTCCCAGTAACACACAGTTTCCACCTGTACACACCTCCTGCAGGCAAGGAGCCTGTCTCTCCCGGCCCCAGGTCTGGAGAGCTGCACTATTCCTCAGGAGCCCAGTCTAAGCCAAGGCCTCTGATGCACGAGGGACAGCTGATCCAGAGAGTGCTGGGGGTCTGCCCACCACCACGGCTCAGCATACGCTGCTCTGCGAAGGCTGCTGGTCCCCTTCTGCACAAACTGCCGTACCCACTAACTGTACCCAGGAGCTGCACTCCAGGCCAGCTCTTCTGCTGGCTTCTCTTCAGCACCTGCTCCAAGGCTGCCTGGCTGCCATAACCAGACTCAGCCAGGACAAAACCTCCCAGCACCCTTTGGCCAGGAGCAGCTCGCAGAGATTGCTAGAAGCTGCTAGATCTTCCCAGCAGCCACAGCTTCACATCACTATCCCCTTCCAGGAGCAGCACCAGGCGTCCTGACGTTCCTCAGAGGGTTCCCAGGAGTCCCCCAGCAATCCCAAAAGAAGTTTCTAGAAGATCTTGAAGCAGAGCCAGGAAAGCACTACAGCAGGTGCCTTGGCGAGCCATACCTCCCAGTCAGGGAGCAGGGCAGACACCCTCACAGGCCTCAGCTCTTCTTCAGCACAGGTTGTAGCTCCTTGGATTTGCTGATGGGTAACATTATCAACAAGAGAGCACAATCACAAAAATTATTTAAAGCTTAAAAAGTCAAGTGTAGTTGATGACAAGCTTCCACCGCACAAGAATAGTCAAGAGCCCCTGCCTTGTTTGTTCATACGATGTGTAAGCCCAGAAACCAAGGTATGGCACAAGGATCCTCCAAAGCATGCTCTCCTCTGCCCACCGTCCCTCCCCGCTGGCCTTGCGTGAGGCTGACCCACAGCCCTCGTGGCCCCTTCCAGCACCTTCTAGCTTCAGCCGACCGTAGCCCTTCCAGCTTCCCGGGGAAGGAAGGACATCACTGCTGCCACCCTCCACAAAATGGCCAAAGCCATTCCTTCCTGCTCCTGCCCACACTGGACACAAGGTCCCTCATGGCAGCAGTGACCACCCCACACAGCTGGGCTCTCCTCTCCCACTGGGGTCTACTGTCCCCTGGCCTCTGCTTTGGGGCTGAAGAGCCCAGGTGTGAGGGAACGGGGTGGGGCCGTCCTCAGCATGGGGTAAATGTGGGTGTGGTGGGGCAGAGCGCAGGGCCTGGCTTTGTAAGGGGAGGGCTGGGGTGGTGGGTCAGTGGTGGTGTGGGTCTCTCTGGGCTGTTCCTGGTGGTCTGCAGGATGGCTGCTCTGAAGGTGGACTTTGGCTTGCTCCTGGAGCCTCTAGGCTTCATTAAGGTCCTTGAGTGGGTGAGTGGGGCTGCAGACTGCAGGGGGAAGTCTTGTTTGTCTTATGGGGATGAGCCTTCTCTTTGATAGGGCTGGTGCTGCTCCTGTGTCATAGCTGGGTAGGCCTGAAGAGGGGTGAGTGTTGGTGGGCTGCCTCATGATGCTGGTGGTGGATGTTCAATGCAAGGCTGCTCTTCAGCCAAGCCCAAGCCTCCCAAGGCTGGGAGGAAAGAAGACTCTTTTTTTGGATATTTAATGTATCCAGTTCTGTGGGTAGGTTAAATCTGTGTGTTAATCACAGGTTTGTCATAGTAACTTGTGCTGGTGTATGTTGTGTGTTTAGACTCTTGAGGTTTTAGGGGTTTGCTAGTGAACAAGGGGGAAGACAAGAGCTACATGGGAAGTCAAGCTGATGTGCAGTACTCTGAGCATGCAGCTCCTACCTATGCTGCTGTGCTGTTGTGGATGTCTGAGGCCCCTAAAAACACTTTCCTGATGATCTGCAAGAGGTACTGTGCTGGCTTTTAGCATTCAAAAAAACCCCACAACATTTAGTGTAGAGCTAAGAAAAATACAAACAAAATGAACTTTCAAATTAGCTTTTCTTAGTGGTGTTGCTCGTGTCTTTGGATTATAGAAATTCAACCTTTCCATTACCAATTAATATCACTTTGTGCTTTCCCATGGCTAACTTAGTCCCCACTTCCTGCTTTTATTAGCTATTTCAGCTAAAAGGTTGAGCTTGTTTCCTTTGAGCTTTAGTGGTGTGTACTAATATGTCTGTGTATCAATTCCAGATTTTTTCCATCTTTGCTTTTGCCACGTGTGGAGGCTTTCAAGGTGAAACTACCCTTCTAGTTTCCTGCAAAGGTCTCGTGAACAAAACAGTTACGGCTGCTTTTGCTTATCCATTCAGGTGAGTGCTAGCTCTTCAGTTGTCACTCATACACTAATTATTTCTTATTCACTTTTTTCCCATCTTTCTCCCTGTGAATACATACTTACTATATATGTCTGAATTAATATGTGAAACCTCTGACTCTCTCTGCAGCAGTAAAAAAAAATCAGTTTTGTTTATAATTGTTCAAAGTGTTGCGGTTGTCAGAGCCCTTTAGAAAGAAGTAGGTAGGGATGGCAATAAGCTGTGTTGCTGCTTTCTGTCACTCTACCTTAAGCTCTACTCTGGCAGTGCATGAATACTACAGAAGGTGATGAATAAGTAAAACAATACGGTTAATCTTAGCAGCCTATTTCTTCATCAGTTTGTAGTTGATTTGGAGGTGTAGATAATCTTATTTTAGATGTGTAATTATCATAATATTTTTGTTTAAAGACTGAATGGAAAATACTCACTTTTCATTTTCCACTATGATCTTGGTGAGTGTGTTGGGTACTTAAAAACTAAATACTGTCATTCTAGTGCTCTTATAGAAACAAGCTCCTTTCTGGCAGCACAGAGAGGAAGGCTTTCTCTTTGTTCTTACAGCAACACAGATACAAGAAGTGCAGAGCTGGTGTTCCATATGTGTTCAGTAAGCATAGGTGTAAGTATAGAAGTGGATTTGGAAGCCATCTAGTAAAAACCACTACAGAAGTATACAATTTGGTCACAAAACACAGCATTGTAACAGTGTTTGGAGGGGACAGTGGGAATCTGAAGTGATTCTGTGCTGGTTGCTGCTGGTCACAGGGTTTCTCAAACTTCCTATAGTTGAAGGTCCAGTGCTTGCGTTTTCTTGTAGCTGTAATGCAACCCATTGCCTTTTAATTCCTGATCCCCCTGTTTAACTGCCAGTTTCCAACCTAGTTAAGTCTCTAAAATTGTTTAGTGAAGTCTGCTTCCAAACTGGGGTTTTCTTCAGTTGCTCTAAACATAAGATTAAGATGCTTCTCCTGAAGCTGTTATTGCATATCTCAATGTAGAATGGGGAACGACCTTCAGATAATTTGACAAATCTTTGTGTTGTATAACCAATAAATTATACATATGTACATTTTCTTTTGGAGCGAACTTATATGGCCACAATGCTGAAGTACTGTTATTGTGAAGCATGGCTGCAGGGAGTTTCCACTGTAGCAAACTCTAACTACATGAAGGATACAATCTTTGCAGGTTGAACACTGTTGTGTTTAGTGTGCCAGACCCAAAACGCTGTGGTGGGACTTGGACTGATGTCAATCTCGAGGGCGACTTCTCCTCTCCTGCGCAGTTCTTTGTTACGCTTGCAGTGCTGGTGTTCCTCTACTGCATTGTTGCCCTTGTGGTATATATTGGATATAAGCATGTGTATCAGCAAAATAACAAGTTTCCACTAACTGTAAGTAATAATAAAATAACTTAATGTTTTGCCTTTGAAAATACAAAGAAACAAGAAGTACTGCTAACACAAGAATATCTGGGTAAATTGTGAATATCCAGTGGTTCCCAAAGCTAGTTGGAGTGTGAATCGGACTAATCGCTACGGCACCCTTGCAGAAAATGGAGCTTAAAGTCTTTGAACATCCATGACATGATACCTTTTGTAGTTACTGAAGCAGAGAGAGGAATGAAGTTCCATTCTTCTCAGGTGAACAGTGCTTCACCATGGCTTTTTGTTTGTATCACATATTTGAATATACAATTGTTCCGTAGGTGGAACCCCTTCCATTAGAGTCTGTGAATTTTCCCTGTGTAGAGCACCTGTTGTGCAGATGTACTTGGCAGAGGGAAATAGTTATCTTGTGACTTTTAGTCACCTAAAATACCAAAGTATTGATCCTCAGAATGAGACTTCTGTTTCCGGGCATCCTCTAAAAGACCTAATGACTTTTCAAGCCAAATTTTAGCATATCAGAGTTCTAGATGTAAATCCTCTGCCCTTTCTCCCCTGTCAACCCCACTTTACTAAACTTTGACCTAACTTTTTATAAGTTCTAGGCATCTGATTTTTTAGAAATTAGTTCCTTACAAAGGATAGGTTTTCTTATGCTTGATAGATGTGAAAGGCATACAGTTTTGTAGCTGATTATCAACAGAAATTATAACTTACATAGTTAATGGCTAAATTTGCTTGTGATCATTATCACTGATTGTGCTGGGTCCTGAACAGCCAGGAAAGGGTTAAATCTCT